GTGTATTTTCCCAAGTTTTGATATGTTGCTGCTAGATTTGCCATGGCTGTGATTGTGTTTGGGTGTTCCACTCCAAGAATTCTGTTTCTTGCATCCAGAACTTGCATCTCCAGCTTCTCTGCCTCTGTGTATTTTCCCAAGTTTCGATATGTTGCTGCTAGATTTGCCATGGCTGTGATTGTGTTTGGGTGTTCCACTCCAAGAATTCTGTTTCTTGCATCCAGAACTTGCATCTCCAGCTTCTCTGCCTCTGTGTATTTTACCAGACAATAATATGTTATTGCTAGATTTGCCATGGCACGAATTGTGTCTGGGTGCTCCACCCCAAGAATTCTGTTACTTGCATCCAGAACTTGCATCTCCAGCTTCTCTGCCTCTGTGTATTTTCCCAAGTTTCGATATGTTGCTGCTAGATTTGCCATGGCTGTGATTGTGTTTGGGTGTTCCACTCCAAGAATTCTGTTTCTTGCATCCAGAACTTGCATCTCCAGCTTCTCTGCCTCTGTGTATTTTCCCAACTTTCGATATGTTGCTGCTAGATTTGCAATGGCTGTGATTGTGTTTGGGTGTTCCACTCCAAGAATTCTGTTTGTTGCATCCAGAACTTGCATCTCCAGCTTCTCTGCCTCTGTGTATTTTCCCAAATTTTGATATGTTGCTGCTAGATTTGCCATGGCATCAATTGTGTCTGGGTGTTCCACTCCAAGAATTCTGTTTCTTGCATCCAGAACTTGCATCTCCAGCTTCTCTGCCTCTGTGTATTTTCCCAAGTTTTGATATGTTGCTGCTAGATTTGCCATGGCTGTGAATTGTGTTTGGGTGTTCCACTCCAAGAATTCTGTTTCTTGCATCCAGAACTTGCATCTCCAGCTTCTCTGCCTCTGTGTATTTTCCCAAGTTTCGATATGTTGCTGCTAGATTTGCCATGGCATCAATTGTGTCTGGGTGTTCCACTCCAAGAATTCTGTTTCTTGCATCCAGAACTTGCATGTCCAGCTTCTCTGCCTCTGTGTATTTTCCCAAGTTTCGATATGTTGCTGCTAGATTTGCCATGGCATCAATTGTGTCTGGGTGTTCCACTCCAAGAATTCTGTTGCTTGCATCCAGAACTTGCATGTCCAGCTTCTCTGCCTCTGTGTATTTTCCCAAGTTTCGATATGTTGCTGCTAGATTTGCCATGGCATCAATTGTGTCTGGGTGTTCCACTCCAAGAATTCTGTTGCTTGCATCCAGAACTTGCATGTCCAGCTTCTCTGCCTCTCTGTATTTTCCCAAGTTTCGATATGTTGCTGCTAGATTTGCCATGGCATCAATTGTGTCTGGGTGTTCCACTCCAAGAATTCTGTTGCTTGCATCCAGAACTTGCATCTCCAGCTTCTCTGCCTCTATGTATTTTCCCAAGTTTCGATATGTTGCTGCTAGATTTGCCATGGCACCAATTGTGTCTGGGTGCTCCACCCCAAGAATTCTGTTACTTGCATCCAGAACTTGCATCTCCAGCTTCTCTGCCTCTGTGTATGTTCCCAAGTTTCGATATGTTGCTGCTAGATTTGCCATGGCTGTAATTGTGTCTGGATGTTCCACTCCAAGAATTCTGTTTCTTGCATCCAGAACTTGCATCTCCAGCTTCTCTGCCTCTGTGTATTTTCCCAGATAAGAATATGTTGATGCTAGACTTGCCATAGCTTCAATTGTGTGTAGGTCCTCCACTCCAAGAACCTTGTTCCTTGTGTCAAGAACTTTAATCTCCAAGGTTTCTGCCTCCTTCAGATATCCTTGTTCCCGCAGCAGCTCTCCAAACTTGGTATAAGCATCATCCAAGTAGCTGACACTTTGCTGGTTACTTTCTGATCTGGAATGCTCCATATTTGCTCTCACATGTGTTACCAAGGCCCTCTGGAATCTATAAGGCTGGCATTCATCCCATCTTAGTGAACATGACAAAGTAACATATGCCATCAAGCAACATTGTTTCCCTCCATCCAATGTCATTCTGTCTCTCCCCCAGGCATGGACCAGTGGATGCATTGCATACACACCATCAGATGGCCCTTTTTTTATCAGTGAGAAGGACAGCAATACTCGAATGCCTTCTCCAAAAAGAAAATTATCCCACATGCCTGCCTTATTCAGAGGAAGCAGTTTCCGATTCAGCATAGAACTGGCAAGTGGCAATTCAGCATTAGAGGTTGTTTCATATGTTTGAAGAGCAGCATAAAAAAATATTTCCTCAGTGATTCCCTCATGGTGGAAGAAAGGAAATAAGTCCAAAAGGAGTATTGCACTAGTTGCTGCATCAGCCTTACGAGAATCATCAGATTCAGCCCTTTGTTGAATTTCTTTGTATGATAGCTCCCAAGTTTCATAGACAGTTCTGTTATACTTAGAAGCACCAGTAAATTCAGAATGGGACAATAATGTTTCTTTATGCTCAAAATATTTTCCAAGATAGTTTCCAATAGTGGTGGCTCCAGAAGCAATGTAAGCACCAGCCTGATCAATAGCAAGAGGAAGGCAGAAGAGCTCCTTCACAATCTTAGAAGCTTCAGATCGGAACTCCATTGAAGATGGATCCAAGCAGCAGGCTTTTAAAAGTAATTCAATGTTATCATCCTCTTCCATCTCAGTTACTTCTAGAGAATTCTCAGGTGAAGTCAGATTCCTGATGCCGGAGTTGCGACTAGTTATCAAGATGTTTCCCCCCCTTCCAGGTGGGAGATAAGCCTCCAGCTCAGCAGGTGATAGAGTATCAGCATTGTCAAAGATTAATATATAGTTCTCTTTCAGCAAGCCAATCCAGTGAAGAGCAGATTCAGGTGAGCCATCCAGTCGACTAGACTGGGCTGCAGGAAGATTACAGACACCCTTGAGCACCTGTGTGATAGTGCTAACTGAGGAAGCATCAATCCAGAAAACAGAAGAGAAACTGAAGGCAATTGAAATTTAGAAATGAGAGTTGGATATGCCTCTTTGGTAGTACTCACCAGTCAGCCATTTCCTCAACAAACTTCAAGCAAATCTGGGTCTTTCCAATACCACCCATCCCATGCAAAAGAAAGAGCTTTCTCTTCTGAGCAGAGTCAGTTGTGTTGAAAAAATGACTCTTGAGTTTGGCGATGACATCTGTCCGCCCTGTGAATCGGATGCTTGGATTTGGCATGAGGGGAACGACCCCATCGGATGTCGTCCTACTCCCATAATTGCTGTGGTCGATGTGGATCTGCCCGAGACGCACTCTATCAGTTTGGTTCACTAATCAACCCTTCTACGCACAGTGTTCGCGGCATAGATCGTGTTGTTGCTAGCAACAAAGTGGTGGGCACCCGCAAAAACGCTCGCTTCGCTCATGTTGAAATAATACTGAAGGTGGAGAGGTTCAGGATGAGGGGAGGAAGGAAAGAAGAGCGCCTGGACGCCGCCAGACCCCCAAATCATGCACCATGTTTTGGTTTATTTTTACATTCCTTAATTAAGCACGTGCCTGGGCTTTCAATTTCCTCCCAGATATGGCGGTCCACACGTTCACCCTTTTCGGTAGGTGGGCTCCAAGTGGGCTCGACTTTGCATGCTGGCTCCGATGTATGGCACCTATTGTCACGCGTGGTGCTTCAAGTTTACAGTTTAGTTGGATTGCCCGCACGAGTTCGTAGTGCGCACAGCAGCGAACCTCTCTCTCAAGAGTTTTTGGAAATGAAGGTGCGAAGTGTAGACCTGGACTCAGAAGTCGCGGCTGACAATCTTTTAGGTAGCAGTCACGGTCATGGTAGATCTGGCTGCGCGGTCTAAATCAGAACACGGCCAGGACTACCCTCCACAACCATCGTCCCGGTCATCCGCTCCACAACCTCAGCCAGCCCCCAGCGATGGCTGGCGATGGCTGAAAAAGTGCCCCTTTCATGGCCCAACCTCGGCCCTATCTCACCTCTCGTACCCAATGGCTTCTCGCTTACGTTCCTGATCAATGACGACCCTCCACGTACTTCAAGTCATTCGAACTTGCTCCTTTGCCACTCACCCATTCATTCTGCAAAGACAAGCGCATGAAGAGAAGAAGCACCTGCCAAAGTTACCCAGCACCATCCATTCGTCGGCTCACCCTCTTCAGCTCAACCTCTTCTTCTGTCATGACTTGCTCCTCTTCCCAACGCCATCTCTTCTCCCTCTTCTCCACCTTCCCCTCTTCCTTCTACTCGCATTCCTTCGTCCCTCATACGCTGTCATGTATCTAGGCCCCACCAGATCTTGCATTGCAGTAGAACGTGTTCAAGACAACCTGTCTTCGGTGTTTCCCTCTCTTTGCATGAGGAAGATTTCAACATGTATCTGCAGGGCGTGGGTTTGAAGACAGACGCCACAAATCGTGAGGAACGTAAACGAAGCGGCGTGGCGATGTTGAGGGTTTTTCTTGGTCTGGGTGCTGTCAGGAGTAGGAAGAAGACGATCTCCAAGGTTCCGTGGACATCTCACGAATGGATGTCAATCTCTCAAGCTCAGCAGATCGTACCCGCAAAGTCTTTCCCACCACAATCCATGCCAACCCATCTCTTCTCCCACTCATACTGCTACCCCCCTGCGATGCCCTACGAGCGCAATCCGACGGTTGTTTTTGTCTCTTGATCGCTGTATTGTTGACTCCCTCCACCGTCCTCGATCACATCTCCTCCAGCCCTTCTCAGTTCTGATTCTTGAAGTTGGCTTACTTAGTTCAGGATGCACACGCGCAAGAATGTCGACGTGTTCTCTACACACCCTCTGATCCAAGAATCGACGACTGTATGGAAATCCGGTTCTGTCAATACACGAGGAACTTCAAGCTTCTCCCAGCCACAATCACGGAAAAGGTGCGCATTTTCTGCTACCTTTCACGACCCAACTGATGATGTAGCAGCTCGCCTCGTTCACCTTGCAACGAACCAGAGGGACTCTTTTGCCCGATTACATCGCGACGATGGCCCATTTTGGCGAAGCTGGCTTTTGTGCGCCTCTGAGTGACACTACGCCTGTCGTGGTTGAAGGTTCTGATGGCGCTAAGATCTTATTGGTGAGCCGTGCTAGGAGGTTGAGCTTCGTCAAGGTCCTTGATGTTCGTTGGCGGAGATAATGCTGATGGCTCGAAAGAGTGCTCGCAGGCAAAGAGAGGGTTGTGGTTGTTCAAAATTTATCAACGTGAGGTCACTGGGCCCTGCTAGCGTTTGCTCAATTCTTGATCTTTTAGTAAGTCTATCTTCATTCTGCTCTTATAAAAGCGGTAGCCAACGAGCCAGCTGGCTCTCGTAGGATGAGATACACAGGTGTCGACTCAAAGTTCCAACACTTTCTACCGCAGTTCCTCTACGTCTTGAAGCAACTCTCCTTCAGAGGAACAATCCGATGTTTCCCCAACATCAAGTGCAATGTGGAGACTCGCGAACGAACTCCTTCCACTTAACTTCCCCTATGTCAATGGCGGATGATAACAATCTAGCCTCTGCCGCCCTCCCCTGCAGTTACTTCGCTTTCCTCGACCCACGCCGCCGAACCATTTTATGGCCACAACTCAGGGACACGAGCCATGGCCAGCCACTCTCGCTTTGCGCTACCCTCCGCCTGGGTAGACCTCTCAACTTTCAAAACCATGGACGCCTAGCTTCGAGGTTTGGTAGCCAACGCAGGGGTGATTGAGTGGCCGATCGCAGTTGGAAAAAAGATTGCTGGTGCAAAGTCAGGCAAAGTGGCAACGGAAGATGTGGAATGACATTCAGAATTTCTGATATCGCGTCCATTTCCAAACTCCGTAGGCCTGCGCGCGCACATGCAAACGTCAACTCCGTGCTTGCTTGAGAACGAAGTGAAAAGGGAACGGCGCTAATTGGATATATCCAAGCACCCATCACCTAAACACCATCCCACGCCCGTCTGTCTTTCCAACCTACTAAAACACGAAAAACCGGTCGGAAACTCCTCTTAACCTTTAAACTACTGCAGTGTTATCAGTTGAAAACCTCCTGTCAAAACACGCCAAACAATGTGGGTTTGGTGCATATCGATGACAAGTACTGATTCTGTTCAAGTTGTTCATCTGTGGGCTATATATACCACCGCCAGATCTCGCGCTAGGAGCTGGCTGAGCTCCTTAGTCACGACGCCAAGTACTACGCCAATGCATACGCCCCCTCCCCATTAAAGTCACGACCTACCACGCCTTGCGTGGCATTCGGCGAAATAGGTTAGGTTTCAAAGGCTATTACAACGAGTTTCCAACATGCAACAAACTTTCGGCATCTTAACAATCTCGATTTCGCTGCTAGCTTCGGGTCCCAGCAACCCTCGTCATTATGAAGAATGGTGTGGGAGGGATGCAAGCAACAAAGTCTCCTACTAGAAAGGGTGTGCTATCTTCTTTTGGAATCCCTTCGGTGACCTTGCATTATCACACAGATGGGCAACGGAGAGGGCGACCTCGGCGTATCGTTCAACTCCATCAATGTCTTGGGCGGGCGGTTTGCTGGGCGGCATGATTGAAGGACCCAGAAGTTTGTGAAGCCGTCCAAGGCGCAGATTTGGATTTGTGGCTTCCGGACGACTGAAGTACCGCTTCGTACGACCATAAGTCTACTCAACAGCAAGCGCTATCATCCGTTACGAGAAAGGCAGCCGTATATTGCACGCGAATACGAATCGAAACCAGATAAGTAAACGAAAAAATGGGGGGGAGTTCGATGTCCAATATATATACGTACGGGGTAGGCTAAGCATGATTGATTCAATACCATCGTATACTTCTTCTCTACAAGCATTCAACACGGGCCTAATTGAGTGAGACTTAATGATCGCGGGACTTCCTAGTACAATCACGTCAGTCTCATGTCTGATTAAAGATACAGAGTGCAAGTGAAGCTGGTTTCACAATGTTCACCTGTATTCGCCCTCAGCTGCTACGCTGAGTTCCTCGATCTCGCCTTGGATAGAGGACAAAGCCTCGGCTGCGGCGGAGAAGTATAAGAGTTGTGCCTTGATTAGCTCGTTGAGGTTCTTGATAGGCTCAGGCTAGCAAAAGAAGTCAGCAACAGCAAACCATACAGAAAAGAAAACCGACAAACATTCTCTAAAACCGTCTTCATGAGCGTAATCGCCACCTCAGTCTTCTGCACGAGATCATCCTCAGCATTCTCAACCTCAAGCCTCGCCTGCTCCTGCTTGACAGGGTTAGCGTTCTTAAACCTGTCAACAAAAACGCCCTTGATCAGCGCAAATGCAAAAAAAGGAGGGGGAAAAACAACATACGACTGCTTCGCAGCGTCCAACTCAAGCCTGCTCAACCTAACCGCCTGCCTAGCCTTCAAAGCAACCGCAATATTCGTATTCAACGTCGTCTGCCACGGATACAAAAAGTTGTCCGCGATATGCGTGTCCTGATCAAGCCGTGCGCCCGCTACCCTCTCCCATCCCTGCGCATACAATCCCAGCGCCTTTCCCAAACGGTCCGTCTCAGCCGAAGGGGCGGTGGTGGACACGGCGGTGGCAGCTGTATGCGCAGCACGCACTACAGCGTGCGGGAGCGTTTTGTGCGGTGCTGCGGGTGGGGCGGTGGGCGGCGCTGGGACGGGGAGGTTGGTGCCTTTGAGGTTGGTAGCTGCGAATGAGGTGATGTTGTACCCGATTGAAGAGGAGATTTCGGAGAGGGATTCTTGGATTTGGGTGGGGTAGTCGTAAGTCTCGTATTCGTAGACTTTTGTTATCCTGCGTTGTCGATGTGGTGTTAAAAGTGCGTGAGTAGATGGATAACAACATATGCGTACTTGAGTAAGGAGAGGTCTGCTGCACGCAGAACGTCGACACGGGCTTCGAGGTCCTTGTACTCTATGTTGTACTCTATGACAGATAGTCAGAACCGCAGCAGTTCACTCGAGGATAAGAGACTTCCGTACCCTGAGGGAGCTCCGTAATCTCGTCAGGGGCAAATTTGTGCTAGGCGCTCGCGGGTGGCCTGGACGCTCGAGTTGAAGCCCTTGCTGAACTTGTTGCCAGCTTGAGCAAAGTTGATGCTGCCCAAGCTTGATTGGAGTTTCGACCAGCCTTCCATGTGGAATTGAGTTGCTTGTCGTAGTCGTATGTGTAACGTTGCTGGCGTTGGGCACTGACGACGAGCGTGGAGTGTAAGGTAATGTGGTGGTGGTCGTGATGATCAAACGTGCAACCTTTGTATGGAACGATTCGAGGGTTTAGAGGGTTGGGTTTGTTGCTTTCGTTTTTGATGTCTTTTTCTTCTTCTTCTTTTGCTTCGGCTTCTTGTTGTTGTCGTTGGTGTTGTAGGTGTCGTTGTTCCCTTCCTCCTCCACGTCGATAGGAATGGGAACAGGAGGCTGAGCACCCTGAACGCGCACAGCACCCTCAACCCCCTCCAAACACTCCATAAACCCAAGGTCCCCAACACCCTCCCAATAATCCACCCCAACTCCAATCATCACTTCATCCCTCCATCCAATAGGCGCACTGAGGTGTTTCAGCCGTTCTCGTACCGTCATGCCCTCGTTCTCAACTCCAACACCAGGAGCAACACCCCCGTAGAGATCAACACACTCACACGCCTGATCGACCTGCGCGTCGTATGTATACCTCACGAATTTGGGTAGTCAAGGCGTCAGTCGTTCATACCGCCTAATAACGACTTCATCGCCTGTATCTTTCAACAAGGCTTGAACGACCGGAACGGCTGTTTCTTCGCCGCATAAATGGAGTTCTTCAGCTATGATACCAAGCACTGCGCTCGTCCACCCGCTTCCACGTTGAGGGTCCGCTATCATTTGTATTTCGTCGATGACGGCGATTTGGTAGTGCGTGTTGAAGTTTAGCATTTCGACGGTGCAGGAGAAGAGGGGGCGTCTTCGGATACTATTTTTTGTTCTTCGCCTGTTATCATGTTGCAGACTCGTGCGTAGGTTGTTTGTTTTTCTTTTGAGGGGGAGGGGGTGACGTCGTCTGTTGCTGTGGTGGTGGTTGAAATTGGAGGCTCGTCCATCCCCAAAGGGATTATTTGTCCTAGGTTGAGCCGTTCCCAGACTTCGTGAGCAAGAAGCCTTAACGGGCCTGCGTAGACACCCCTCTTGCTCGCTGCGAGTGCGCGTAAAGCGTGGTGCGTTTTCCCGGAATTGGTAGGGCCGACGTGCATGATCACTTTTCGATGCATTTTCCGTGCAGCTGGGTATTATTCATGTAAGAACGAACGATCGGTGGCTTGTGCGAGTTGGACGATGTGTTCCGTCGTACTTTGTGGGATGTTGGCCAGACGTGGGGCGGAGGAGGGATGAGAAACCTATGCGAAGAATGTTGTGCTGTATATGATGTCTATTTCTCTGTCGCTATCATGTGATTGGACCTGTGAGAGTCTGGAAAGAGTGTAATAGTCTTCTAGGTCTGGTGAGGAGAGTTCTTTGGCTTTGACGGCGGAGGAAAAGGCGCTGAGGAGGGGTCGGATGTCCGGTGAGGGTACGCCATAGAGGGCGAGGCGGGATGAGGATTGGGGGTGGGTCATCCAGCGGGATATGTTTGATTCAAAGAAGGCAGTAGGGTTGAGTGGGTCTATGGGTGGGTAGTTGTTCTGAGGTATGTGTGGTGGGTGTGGACGAGACCAAGGAGCGCGCTGTTGGTTTGACCATCCACCTGGCGGGGCCGGTTTACTTTTTTTGACGCTGCGGTATCGTTTTGTTATTGAAATCCATAGCACTCCCAACCTCAAACTCGGAGGTTGCATAAATAAACTCGGAAACAGAATTGTTTCATTTCTTTGTACGTGTTATTTTTGAGTCCTTCCGTACCATCCGACGCTCAATTCTCCAACGCGCTCTAAACACAACCCCCCAGAAGAGCCAACATCGACTTGAACGCAGAGGCTCTGCGTGTATTCACATACATATTCTAGATCTCACCTTCCATTTTTAGGACAAAATAATGCCACACTTCATGGTCACGTCCCGGACTCGTTCTCAAAGTCCGTGGCTGCCACTTTGCTGCCACTCGAACCCTTTATGCCAACAGTAAAGATCAATCTCCTGGCTCGCAACGTCAAACTGGGACCTTGCATTGCGAGAACATACCTTCCAAGTTTAGGTCAAAATGACACACTTTATGGCGGTGCGGAACTCCGGAACCTCGTACAGGCTGTCAACCACTTCGACCAACACTAAGAATAAACCTCTACTTATGGAAATGTGGTAAGTGGTAGGGGAGATCAAAGACTTCGCTCCTCAATAAAAGCGTCAAGCTTGGCGTTCAAGAGCCTTCAGAGTTGAAGCAACCATGCAAGCCTCTCCACCACAAGCTCCCCAATCTCATGCTCGCACGTCCTCCACTGGATCTCAAAACAGCTCTTCTTTGAGCACCGAAACCCCACCCAGTTCTGCACCTACAAGCACCCCCCTGGCTGGCTGCGACACAGACACAACCACACATCCGAGTCTTCCCCGCTTGCGCGAAGCGATTGGGCCAGAGGGTCTCGAAATCAGGGAGCACCCTTGTTCCATCTTTACAGAGTATTCCTATGGCAAAGACATATGGGATGTTGTTCGACCGGTACGTACTGCTTCACAGAATTCTCAATTTGGTTTCCAGGTAATATATGTCGTCCCTCAAATTGTTTTCCGTTCAGTGAAGCCAGAGCAGGAGTTTGACCTTGTTCTTGCCCACCTCAGCCAGCTGCAGGCTGAGGAGAACCTTCGATGGCTTCCACTCGATGCCGCTCCCGACGATGAACTTGACGTGCAGGAAATGCTTGTAGAATCAATTATAGCCAGAGCTGAGGCCGAGCTTCGCATATCGAAACCTCTAGGAGGTGGCGGCAACTGGCGTAAGGGGCCGGAAAGTCAATCGTAGTAGACCGATGAGCATACCTCGATAGAACTGTAAGCAAGTGTGTAGATGCTGGACAGATTGGCGGTACTGAATCATACAATGACATGACATTCTTTAGCACGGTGTGGCCCTAAGAGCAACCTAAGAGATGTGCCACCAAACGTACCGAAATCTAATAGCAAAATGATACTAACCTACGTAACGAAATCCCCCAGTAGAACGGAATGAGAACTACAAGGACTTTTTAACGGTCCGCCTCATTCCAGTACACCTTTTGCTTCGGAATCCCGGCCTAGGCACTCAGTTTCTGTAACGTCTCGCTTAGTATAGAGCCAGAAAATGAATTAACCTCGGACCGGCGTACCAAGTACTCCTCCCGTAGTATATCGAACTTCTTGTGATTGCATAAGGCAGCATGCATCTCTGGGTTCCTCACGAACGATTGGTCAAGCACTGTTAGCAATTTCAGAGGCGGGGCAGGTTCAGCAGCAACAGAAGATACCGAAAAGGCGAAAAAACGGGGTGAGGATGACGTTGTGTTGTTCTTCTGGGAGAACTCGAAGGCAGTCATTGAGAGATACGCTACGGTTGGCACCACTCAGCGTTTCCCATCTAGCAGGATGTGCAGCACCAGCACCAGCACATGCGCTCACAGCCGGAGTTGCGGAGTTGCTCAAAATGTTTCTTGAGGGATACATTCCCGCTGATCTGTGGTTTCTGCCTTGAGTTCGTAGCTCGGGGAACAAGCGCTTTTGAGAGTTTAGGCGGAGCTTGACGTGGGTCCCCCGTGTGCAGCGGCTTTCGCGGAGACAGAAGAGGTAGGGCCGCCACTCAGACGCGGATGGAAAGGACGAGGACGATCCAGGAAGGGCAGTGGGTGCTTGCGGAGCTGGTGGACCATGGAGTGTTTCTTTTGGCCTTGGCGGAAGTCGGGGGTAGGTGCTGATCGCCTGTTAGAGCGGGAAACTTTGCTGGCAACCGTTGCTGTGGGCACTTGGTTCAATGATGGAGCAGGCGCAGAGAAAGAACCAGCAGCCTGGGCAACATGGTCCCAGACCTGTCGTGAGGAACGTTCAGAGGATCGGGTTGCAGTGGAATGTTTCGCATTAAGCACGCGGCCTGAGGCGATACCCGCGTATCACGTTTGAGCCGATTGAGGTAGGTATGAGGTCAGGGAATTGACGACGTTGCTAAAGTGGACTAGAGACTCAAAGGTTGAAACATTATTCGAAGCATGGCTGTCTACATACCTCAATTGTAAATCCTCTTCATGATGATAGCAGATCCTGCTTCTATTCTTCCTCGTCCAAAAGGTCAACCAAGGCGTTTACAGTGCCAGCTGTGTGGTCCAGGTTCCTGTCCAGGACATTCCAGATTGCCGAGATAAGATCTCGTGCAATAGACTCAGAGGGCTGATAGCCGCGAGTCGCTGCCCTCACGGCAGGTACTGCTGTAGCAGGGTTAGAAGCGACAGCTTCCAGACGTGTCAAGAAAAGGGCGTGTCTCCTGCGAAATTTTATTAGAAATCATTCCACACGGTAGAAAGATACACCCCACTCTGGAACAGCAGGATCTGTACCCCCGGCATGCGGTGGTGGTGACAAGGAGCATTGTTATTGGAGGTTGCCTGGGGAGTACTACTTCCTTCGGTTGTCAGCGCGCCTCCAAAGGCCTCCCGCCTTCTAAACCCGCTTCCTGGCGGTCGAGTGACTGGAGCGACGGTCTGCGGTGGAGGGGCCGTCTGTAGTTGCTGCCGGTGTGATTGAGATGGTGGTTCTTGTTCACGCTCTCGTTCCCGACCTCTTCTACCGTGCCGCCCCCCATGAGGTACTTATTCAGCGGGCACCCTTCTAGCGTCCTTTTTGTCTCGTGAACTCATGTCTTCCTCCGTGGACTTCTACCATGTGAGCTCTGAGGTCCAATGGGGAGTTGAAAACGACGAAATTTTGAGCTTGGCACTCTTTTTGTGTGCAAGGATGGTGAATGCTGTTGAAGTGCCTTTCCTAAGGCGAATAATTAGTTTTGTCAGGTCAATGACCCGAGCGACGAGACACACTAAACTCTCGTAGTTGATGAAACTGCAGCGTGATCGTGTCAGCTAGGGAGAAGCAGGACGCGCAGAGATTGACGCACTATTGATCTCTAACTTCATTTCGCTTACAGAGAAAACACTCCTCGTGCTTCTCTCGCATGTGAGGGTACAATTCATCGCCACTAAAGAAACGCTCTCGACAAAATCCGCATAGGGAGTGTATGCCACCCTCTATTTGGCTCGCATATTTCAGTGCGGTCTTCCCTGGGCGATGGTGCATGGACGGGAGATGAATGGGCAGCAACTTCGGTGGATATAACGCATGTTCATGCGCAAAAAACCTTCTTGCTTCGAATATAAAGCTCACTTTGTGAAGGTCAGGCAAATTCAGCAAATCCAGAGGACCAGACACAGACCACATAATTTTGCCATGGGTGGCGCGAACGTGAAGTTTCAAACCACCCCAACCGTTTCCGATGTAATCACAGTCCGGGTCTGGACAGTTAAATCAGCGTGTCCTCTTCATTGCATCATCGACATCTCTTGGGTCTCAAATGTGATCCTGAGCTTCGGGTCCTTGTAAGGAATAGCGTCCATAGCGTAAGAACTGAAGAAAGCATCGGGAGAAACGGTTAATATGACAGATGGTGTTTGGATGGTGTTTCATTTCTTTGTACGTGTTATTTTTGGGCTCCTTTCATACCACCATGATGTTCTCCTACATCCGACGTTCCTTTCTACAACGCGCCCTAAGCACGACCCCAAGAAGAGCCAACATCGACTTGAACGCAGAAGCTCTAGGCGTATTCGCATCCCCACCACCACCAGCACCTCGCCAACCATCCACTCCACCCGCAGACTCTCTAGCAGGCCAAGCAGCAGCAGTACTAGCCCTATCCCAGAAATCCTCCAGGCTACCCGCATTCTACGACATCCCCCCAGCGCACGACCCCCTCCTCCACCTCCTCACAACCTCCATAATGAAAAACGGGCGTTACTCCAAAGCAGCCAAAATCACATCCGACACCCTGCTCTACATCCACACCTACACGCGCGCACCCGCCCTTCCCATCTTACGCTCTGCGATCCTAATGGCGTCTCCGGCGGTAAGGAACGTCAGGTTTAAGTCGGGGTCAAAGAGTCAAGTGAGGCCTTATCCGTTGAATGAGCGGCAGAGGTCGAAGAAGGGGATTGATTGGTTGTTGGCGGAGGTTAAGGGGAAGATGAGTGGAAGGACGTTACAGGAACGACTTGCGAGGGAGGTTATTGCGATTGTTAGAGGGGATAGTCCGGTGCTGAAGTTGAGGGAGGATGCGCATAAGCTGGCTATGGTTAATAGGTTTGTCGAGTTTTTTTTGGGTTCTACTGGGTTGAGCTGATGGCTTTTTTTTGAAGGGGTGGAATGTCTAAGCAGTAGATTGTTTGTTGAAAAGTACCTTTGAAAATTTAATGCTTATTTATGGCCTACTTCTGTATGCGTGCAACAATCGTCAAAATCCCAATGGTGCGTCGAGTTTTTACCAGAGTCGACATAGTCTTTCTGCGGAGAGAGTCTCTCCCTTCTACGACTAACCACTACAGACTATTATCGTTCTCTCAAGCCAGAACGCTGGTGGCCTCACTCCAAATTTATAGAACACTCGTGGGCTCATGGCAACTTAAAGTCTTAGTCCTTTGATCTCAAGAACGCACGCCCGGACTCCAGGTACACACGTTAGTCCATATCCATGGTCCTTTTCCACATAACTGACCTAGCGTCGTTCCGCCCAGATTCCGGGGGATCGTAGATTCCCGTGTTATCTTCGTTAGCTCGCGCGGGACACTTGTGGCCTCCCTTAAAAATCATCTGACACTCGTTGGCTCATGGCAACTTGAGCTTGAGCCCTTTAGATCTCAAACACGCATGCAGTTGTCAAATGACAACTCACCTCCCTCGGATTCTCGTCCGGACTCCAGGTGCATACGTACGTCCATATGCATGGTCCGTTTTCGCGTAATCGCCAGCAGTACCTGGGCTGGGATGTAGTAGAGTGATAGGTGCGTTAAAGAACCCTTTTAGAGTCTATCGAGGCATTGACCAACTTTGCTCGGCAGACAGACTCTCTTGCATGGTTTTCGAGGAAGTTGTAAGACTATCGAAGCGTGGAGTCCCAACTACCTGCAGATCTCCGCTTGGACCTAATCCTCCAGTTTCCAACTTCACACACCCAACTCTGTCGCTTTGCTCAATCTCTCACGTAAGTTGATTTTCAATTGTTGCAGAGGAGACGTTGAACTGAACTAACTATACATGCAGATTTCTGGGGGAAACATTTTGGTTGGCTGTTCTCAGCACCGATATTGGCGTCAATCTTGCTCCTTGCTCCCCAGTTGTCACTCGATACACCGAGTTGGGATGTTCGACTTGATAGGTGTGATGATCTTTTGGAGGATTTGAGGACGTTGACTGATTGGCTTTCGCAGTCCACGTGTCAATGCCAACAGTCTTTCCTACGTCTCTCTGACCGGGACGTTCGATCTTAAGGTGCGTCGAGAATCTTCTGCAGGGAGATTTCCAGGTTGGAGGTATGACTGACAGTCTCGTCCTAGGTCAGTTATCCTAGCTGCGCTCATTCTTTCTTTGCGCTTTTCGCTAAACCCTCAGCACTAAATTAGGCTGTGGCTCTTTCTCGCATCGCTACAGCTCTTGTCAACGAGAAAGATGGAAACCACTTGTTGGATTCTAACCCCAAGTAAGCTGATCCTTTGTGTCGAAGTAGATTCGAAACTGATCCCAGAGTCTCTCTTTGTACTTGGATACCTGGGGACATCCCGGCTTGTTGATGTGCCAAGTTTGCCTCGTCAGCTTCATTCGTTCAATGCGGCTTCATGAATGACAGAGACGTAGTAGCACAACAATCTTATCACGTGACTTCAAACATTCAACCTCGTTTCTCGAAGCCAATAACTCATTGCTGAAGCTGACTGGACGCGCCGTGGTTTGTACGTTGGTTCTGTGGTACCTGTTTTCCTTCTTTTTACATTGGCCTCTTTCAAAAATGAAACCTTTCAGTTCGAGACGCAAGCTTGATGTTGGTGTTGCGTCAATATTGCAATGAAAACTTTGCCACCTTTATATTCCCGACTATCACGCACACCGAAAACAGGTTCGTCCAACATATGCTACCACGTCTCTCGCAGTGCTCATTCCTTTACGTTTGGAATCTGTGAAGTGGCTTAACAATGTTAAGCGCTTTGTCGATCTTGAGGGAATGGCCAGAAGGGCCGTTGACACCCCCATCGATTGCTCACGCTTTTGAAACTCGTCACAGCAGGAGCAATTATTCTGCTAGTATCCACTACATGTAGACTTACATCATACTGATTGGTTCCTTTGGCCACCTCCAGTCACATAATTCAACTTTGCCCAGATTATGTACAACTTACGAGTGATTGTCCACTTGAATGTTGAAGCTCATTTTGGTCAAGGTCCAAGGATGGTCATTTTGAACGAATATTGTTGGAAGCATTAGACGCTTTCGGGTAGGGTACTAGGGGGGGTAAGAAAATCCATAATTCGAATATATCCAGCAGCCGTCGTGACAACTAATCGACCTGCTGCTGGACAAAAGTCGAAATCCTGTAGTACGACCTCCTCCCTGTTGAAGAGACGTCGAGTGGTGGGGGTGGCCATGCCATCGGGATCACCCTGTGGCATGTTCATAAGGCTGATATTTACGTTATCATCGGCCTGCCACGTCAAGGCAAGCGACTTGCCACAAAACCGTATATGTCGTAGAAAGTTCAGGGACATTGTCGCAATGGGAAAAGAGACAATGCCCACTTGTTGTGGATCAAACGTCTGGTAATCGAAGTTGCTAGGAACATATTTGAAGGTGTAGTATCGCATAGAAGCATTTAAAGCATCGGGTGTTGGGCTGCACAAGCCAAAGAGAGGGAGTCTCGACTGTCCTGCAGAAATCCACTGACTAGGGGGAGAAACTCGAAGGGATTCAGCTGGCGATGGTGTACGAATTTCCAATCTGGGAAGGAGCTGGATGACCGCAGCCTTCATATCGTCTGATACCGGCAAATACAGTGAGCTAGGCACGTCCCAGACGGTCAATTTCCCGAGTTCAACGAGAAGGAGGGTGTCAGCAAAGAGTATCGCCTTTTTTGATTGAAAAAAGAGATAGTCAGTAAATAGAGCGATTAATTTCTGGCGAGTGACTGACACCATTCGGTTGATGTATTACATGATTGTACTCCCAACTGATCGCCTTGTTTTGGATAAAATCCCAGACCGTGATGAGATTGTTACGAGAACTGCAGGCCAGTGTGTTTTTGTGGATGTATGCATTATCAAGTGTCCCTTCGACCTTCAAGGAATGAGTGAGACGATAAGCTACGTCCGGAGAGGATGGGTATATTTCGTAGATCGACACGCGGTTGTCCATGTTCAAGCTCCTATGATTTGTGTGGGATACACATGTGAGAAAAACTGGAAAGATGCTTACATTTGTTCGATACAAACGTAGACTCCATGACCATCCGGAGTTGGGCTGGTGACGCTGACAAAGGATCCTGGTGCTGTAGGAAGCACTGCTAGAGGGGACAGTTTCATTGGGATTCCTGCATGAATTCCGAGGTCCCAAAGGGGCACGCCGTGTTGCATCGTATCAGCAAACAAGAACCGACCGCCCGGAATGAGTAAAAGAGTGACACAGATAAAGGGTACGTCCTCATCATCCGTCGAAAAGACGGGCGGTAATCGAGGCTTAAGGATGCGAGTCACAACGGGTTTGATATCTCCTTCGGATGCTTTTGCGTATTTTATAAATTTAAAAGGCGACAAGGCGGCGTGTTCAAGTTCGATTTGCGAGAGATTTTCAAGTGGATAGAACGTGGATAAATTTATGCCGTGCATCAAACACACTCGACGCAATGCGTTGATCCACACAATTCGCAATTTTGTGACGGTGCACAACAATTTAGAGGTCTCAATGAAAAAAAATGATGAAGAAGCTGTTAGTACCAAACATTCTGAGAATAGGATGCAATACCTTGCGAAGAGAGATGATGTCGTCTGGATCCAGAAAAGTTTGAATTTGGAGTAAGACGTCTGTGGGAAGAGGGGGGTGGGCATATTCGGACGTGGTCTGTGATCGTCGAAGATCGGAGGCAGGTCCCTTGAACATCATGAAGAGGTCCAATTTCTAGTGTATTCTTGGTGTATTCGAAGTCATTGAGCAGCATTGATGGAATCCAAGACACGTGATCTACGCAAATACCACCGCCACAGCAACAGTTCATGAACGTTGAACTTGAAACGCAAGGCCGAATTTTTACGAAGAAACTCACACTTGAGCAATCGTGTAACAAGTTTTAAATTGTAGATGCTCCCTAATCATCACTCGATACATCGAGCTCAGGCTGGGACGTTTGACTTGGTAGGTGTGATGATCTTTTGGCCAGGCGTTGACTGATTGTCTTTTGCAGCGTCTTTTCTCTGGTTTATGATGTCAAGGCACAAGCACATTCGGTCCCAGCCAATTGAATAGAAGAAGAAAAGAGGGTTCAGAAGTCTTTCCTTCAGACTTTTTGGCATTCTTCATGAATTCAAGACGAATGTTTCCCGTATGTCCTCACTCAACTCAACAGTTTCTGCGCCTTGTACCCCGGAGGTTACCGACTTATCCGGCTCTCAACTCAATTCATCCACGAAACCTTTCTTCGACTTCTTATGTGGTACGCTGACAGTTTTTTTTTTGGCGTGGGTGATTTCGAGTCGTTGCATCTAGACTCCTGCGGACGTCTTTCGAGTTCATCGATGGAGATTTCGGTGCCATCTTGATCAGTCTTTTCTACGTCCGTCTGGCCGGGACGTTCGATCTTAAGGTGTGTTGAGAATCTTCTGCAGGGAGATTTCCAGCTTGGGGGCTGACTGAGTTGCCAGTGATTGATAGACTCGTCCTCATCCGGTTCAAAGGAGGTTAATTCGTTCGTTATCCTACCTCCACTCATTCGTTCTTTGCGCCGTCTTATTACTTGACCCTCAGAACTGAATGAGGCTCTTTGCCGCATCGCCCCAGCTCTTACGGACAGTAGATGACCTGGGAAGATGGAAACCACTTGTTAAGTCCTAACCTCAGGTAAGTTGATGCTGTTGAAGTAGATCCGAAACTGATCCCAGAGTCTCTCCATGTAGGGACATCCTGCTCTTGCTCGTCAGCTTCGTTCGTTCAATGCAGCGACTTACCTCTGGCGGGGACGTTCGACTGATAGTGCTTGGAGATTTCTGGGGCCAGCCCAGAAGTTGTCCTTCAAGTTTGTTTGGAGTCACATCACGAATTGCTTGTGTGCTACCTCATCTCGTTTCCCATTCACGCTCTAATTGTTATACAGAAAACGGCCCTTAGTGCTCCCAACTCCCTATCAACGTACGGATTATTACCAGGCAATTCGAGCTGTACTACGTGTGTTGGTACTTCTCAGTTTTGCTCCCCCTTAAATCCTTTGATTGGCTTACCTTGTAGACTCTTTCTCGTGCGGAAGAGAGGACCAAAATCAAGTAGCGAGGCTTACTCCCTCGGGAGCTTGCTGTGTGCTCTTGGACCAAAAGAGGAATGGGTCATCAGCGTAGAACACGATGTTCCGTTGATGGTCCCCAACTTTCTTAACGACGGAGATTCAGGACGTCTGGATGTGGTGAAGCAGTGCACCATTCCCTCACTACCAATGATACTGAGTGACCGCGATGCCACAGACTAGCTCATAGGGACAAATTATATCACGGTACCTCTATCTCTACCTCTACCACCTCTACCGCCTCTAGAATGATGTAAGGGAAGGTTGAACAACAGAATACATAAACCCGTACCAATGATAGCGACCATTTGCTTAATCTCCTCCACTACCGCCAAGAACTTGGCACGACCCACCTCCTCCATGATATTCGTGTTCCACCTTTCAATAGGGGCCAAGGGACCAGGTTCGACAGTACGGCTGGCTCTATCATATGTGTAGAAGGACAGTTGTCTTCCCACAGCGCTGACTCCATACAACTTTGGAATTCGGACGAGATGGGAAAGTTGCCAGAACCGGTATCGGACTTGGTCTTCGGCATTTTTACGGGCGGATAAAGAGAGAAGGTGTGTGGGAGGCTTGATATCGATGAAGAAAATGGGGCTCTGGAAATCTAACGGCTCAATGACATAGGTGATCGCACGGCCCTCGATGGCGCCGGTACCACCTATCATATCTACAGTGACGTACTGGGGCATGATCGTGAACCGGGTGGAAGGGAAGCATTCATTGAGAATACTATTGTAGAACCCATAGAACTTCCCGATCGTCTCTGTGTCCAGCAGACGAGAGGACTTCGCGACAATGTGAGCAGGCCAGGGCATGGTGGAGCGAGCGAGCTATTAATGTATGTCGTGTTTGGGTGGCACTGTTCAAAGTGTAGGTTCCTAGTCGTAGTCAAGGTCGAATGTATCAAACACGCCTCGTAAAGGGCGTTTTGGTCGCAATTCAGAGATTTACTGAGTTTTTGGAGGTCGGGCGCAACCAATTGCAAGTTTAAACCCGAGACGTTTGGATGGGATCAAGATGGGATTCAAAACATAGATTTTCCCGAGGAGCGGGATTATGTCCTTGCGTGGGGCATTCAAACAGTCACTGGCACGAATCAAAGTAGAAGAAAAAACAGGCAACAAGTTGAGACATGAACGTGAAACGATTATTTTCGCTCACCAAAGTCCAAAACTATCACACCGATATCACAGGATTCACATCAAGAAACCATTACGATTTTCCCCTAATACTATATCATACAAGCGGTCTCGCGTAACCTACAGGTAGTCGATCATGTTATTTACTCGTCGTTGGTTTGCTGGGGCCGAGAGTTGAAGCTGTCTGCAGCCCGGAAACCTTCCCGTGCAGCTCGGAAGCCCTCACGTCTGCCTCCTTCACGTCCGCCTCGGAAGTTCTCTCGTCCACTGCGGAATCCCTCGCGTCCAGCCCGTGATCCTTGTCTGCCAAGGCGTGATCCAGCACCTCGAGCAGCAGCGAGCTCCTTGCGAAGAGCAGCGTCCTGCTTGCGCTCAGCAGCTAACTCTTTACGGAACCCTGCCTCGGCCTTGCGCTCAGCAGCCAACTCTTTACGGAAACCTGCCTCGGCCTTGCGCTCAGCAGACAGCTCCTTGCGAAGACCTGCACCCGCCGTGCGTTCCTTGGCGAGCGCCGAGCGGAAGCCAGACTCAGCGCTGGGCCTGGTCTTGGTGCGGCTGGCAGAGTTGGGCGTCTTGGGTGTGCGAAGACCAGAGGTGGGGGTCTTGGGGGTACGAGCAGAGGTAGGGGTCTTCAGAGAAGTGCGAACAGGGATCTTCGACGATGTGCGAAGAGATGAAGAGCTAAGAGACGAGCTCTTGGGGGTGCGGAGGGACGAAGAGGTCTTGGGGGTGCGAAGAGAAGAGCTCTTTGGGGTGCGGAGCGACGAGCTCTTTGGGGTGCGGAGAGACGAAGAGGTCTTGGGGGTGCGAAGAGAAGAACTCTTGGGAGTGAACTTGGGGGTGCCGAGAGCGGAAGGGCTCTTGCTACGGCTACCGCTGGCTCCCTTGCGCGCGGCGGCAAGCTCTTTGCGGAGAGCAGCTTCGACACCCTTCTCTTTGGTGAGAGCGCCACGCAGACCCTTCTCCGTCTTGCGCTCACCAGCGAGCTGCCCTCGGAGGCGGGAACTCTCGCTGGATTTGGTCGATTTGCGCTCGCCGGACTTGCGCTCAGACTTGAGGCCAGATTTGGCACCTGACTTCAGGCCAGATTTAAGACCGCCAGACTTCAGACCACTAGACTTGAGGCCTGCGCTCTTGAGACCAGACTTGAGGCCGCCAGTCTTGAGACCAGACTTGAGGCCGCCAGTCTTAAGACCAGACTTGAGGCCGCCAGTGCTCAGACCAGACCTAAGGCCGCCGGTGCTGAGACCGGACCTGAGGCCGCCAGTCCTAAGAGAAGACTTGCCACCGGTGCTGAGACCAGACTTGAGGCCGCCGGTGCTCAAACCGGACCTGAGGCCGCTAGTCCTGAGAGCAGACTTGCCACCAGTGCTGAGACCCGACTTGAGACCGCCGGGGCTCACACCACCACCGCGCTTGGGGGCAGAAGATTTGGAGCCAGGGACGTCGATGCGGAGATTCTTGGGTTTGCGTGAAGAGGAAGAGGATGAGGATGAGGAGGTGACCTTGGATAGAATCTTCTTTCCTGCGTCCAAGGCGACCTTCTTCTCGAGTTTGGGTGCCTCCTTCTTTGCAACGCTAGATACGACCTTTTTCTCCAGTTTGGGTGCCTCCTTCTTGGCGACGGCGGCGGCGCCTTTGGCAAGGAGTGAACCGATGCCGCGAGCCTCGACTTCTTCCAAGTCACGGGCAGCGAGGGCAGCCTCGAATGAATCCTGGATGGATAGACGGTTATTATCTACCTTTCACAAAAAGGGAGGATAAACTCACGACGGGGAGAGCCAAGACGTTGCTGCTTTTGTAGGCCAAGATGGCGAGCAAGACAAAGTTGGTGGAAACGCGCATGATGATTGGTTGATTAAAAAGTGGTAAAAGAAGGAATGGAAGTCTGCGCATGCCGATATCAGATTAGAGATCAATGGCATTGACGAAGAGTAACTCACTTCGTAAAAGGTCGTAAAGAGTTGGTTAATTAAGTGAGAAGTAGGACCAGCCTAGATCTGTAGAGAAAAACATGAGCGCAAAGCGGACAGCGGGATGAGAGAAGAGCTACCGTTGATGTGATTTGAGGAGGATGCACCGGGCACTCTGCTGGGAGTGGGAAATGACCTGTCGTTCCTTAAGTACGACCTCGGAGCTTTGACTTGTTTGTCGCCCAGCCGTGGAGCGGCATGCTTACAATTGAGCGGTGGAATCGTGAAACTTGTCTCCTATCAGGGGAAGCGACGTGCACGGCCAAGAGCAAAGCATAGGCTTGGCCCCCCGGCGCTCTGGACATGTCGGAAGTGTGTTGTCGGACAATCGTGGGGTCCAACCTTTTCCGAGTAATCTTCGCCGTTTGTGGGCACGGATCTATTCATCAATCCGGTAAGAGTTAAAAATAACACTTCATTATGGAGTTAGTCAACCAGATTGGTGCAGCCATGATAATCGATGAACATACAGTTCTGTAACCGAATCTTGGCGTGTGCACTTGGAAGCCCTCTTATTCACCTACGACAGTTCTGTTCTACCCGCGAAAAGTTGCCCTAAGTCTCATAGAGAAAGGTAGGGCAAGATTTCCTTGGTGCTTGAAACTCGTATCATATGGAAGAATGTCATAACGTCGCCGATCGGTTAGAGCATATGACAGAAGGAGCCCAGAATCGGGTCCAAAGCTGATTGAGCGGATATTCACCAGTTCTGGGTAAGGTTTTACGCCCATCGAACCTGAACCTGCAGCGCCTCTTTGATAGAGATAACACTGCATTTCAGAATGAGCAACCGACGTCCATGCAGCCAAGAATTAGAACCTGCCTTTCAAGTTACATCCTCTTGGCCTGCGTTAGGCGTCGAGCAATGGTCGTTGAGTGACCATGCAGACTCAATTTCTACTCCACCATTCGTTGTGAAGAAAGGCGCTTTGCTTGATGTTTGAAACCCACATCAATGAAATTTGAACCTGTCAGTAAGAGCTGTGCTCACCTGGTGTTCATTAGCTGGCCACGAGGCGAAAATTACGTCGAGCGCTCTCAAGATCTCACTGGCATGACAGCAGAAACGAAACAATCAGCCTGTTCACGGTGTTAAGACTCATAAGAGCGGATGTATGTGCATGTTTGTCATGGATCCCAGCGAAATTTCAAACACCTTACATACAGTTCTGACTACTTACACCAGGACTACACATTGCTGAACGTCCTCCAAGTCTAAGTGCGTCCAAATAGTAAATACATGTGGAATCGAATATCCAGGCCATCGAATATCAAAATTCCTTGCCAAGAAAGCGATGACCGTCTCCTAAGGTCTTGATGCTAGCCAAGAGTTCGCAAATTGAAAACCAAAACTGATAATAATCCAGATATACTCCGCCATCGCATCATCGTTGTCGCAAAGAGACCAGCTAGAACAAAGTGACGACCTGCTCACAGGCATGAACGCTAGATGATAGATTCCCTTGGCTGGATGTTTTAGACGGCAGTTGGGCGGTGAAAAATCGATGACCGGTTGAAAGTTTTCGCATGGCCAGCGCTGAGGAAAATTTCGAGCTCTCTCGAGCTCCTGGACAATCTGAACAAAAGATCGCCCATTTAAACCTTGAGATATACACGCTTCCAGTGATTATATGCCTGAAGAACACACGTCCGTTGTGGATAACATTAGAAAAAATCAAACGAAACAATCTCTAGACCCACCACACTTCATTCATTTTGACTGCACCCCACCCACCATCAACTCCCACTCTTGAACGCCTCAACACCCGGTATCCGTACACCACCCAACTCAGCCACCACAACCTCCTCCTCCTCCTCTCCCTTCCGTCCATCCTCAATCCCCACACGCTGCTTCATAAACGCAACAAACGTAACCACAATAAAATCTATAATCCCCACGCCAGGCGGTAAGATCTCCAAAAACGCTCTGCGCGGTCGGGAGACGATGCCAATTTTCGCGCGGCGGTAGCGCGCGAGGGGTGTGAGGGTTGTTGGTTCGGCTAGTATCAGCTGCGTGGGGTTTGGTTGAGGATGTGGTCAGAAGAGGAAAGGGAGGAGGAGTACTAACCATAGGTGATTGAATGACCATTTGCCATCTGTAGTGTTTATTATCTGGCCCTGTGAATTCCCATGAACTAGTGGAACGAGCAGCCGTTAGTCAGTCAGCTAATTATTAAACGAGCGCGACCAACGTACCTATCCACCCCCCAATCATCCTCACCCTCTTCATCCCCATCCATCACGTTCTCCTCCCCATGACCAAGCATCTTCCTCGAGCTCGGCTTTGGACCAACCTCCAAATCAAGTGGCTCATTACCCTCATCGCAAAACTTCACCCTCGTCCCCTCGCCCTCTTTCTCCCGATGATACTCAACCACCCCAATGGACGTCTCGATATGTCCAATACTCGCGTGATACCTCTCTAATCTCTTGATCGTCGTCGTGGAGGGTGTCCTTCTTGGATTGAACTGCAGTGCTTCTTGTTTTTGTTTTCCTTTTTGATGATCGTCAGGCCGTGCTGATTTTACTTGGCCGTCGCGATGGGAAGAAGTAGGGAATACGTTGGCAGTGGTAGCAGAAGGGGAAGGGGATGGCGACGAGGAAGAGGAAGAGGAAGAAGAGGGCGTTAAGATCGAGTAAAGCGCCTCTCCATCGGGCGTGACGAGGATCGTGGCTGTTGGGTCGTTGTTCACTAGTGTAAGGTGCAGCGATGTCGAGGCTGACATTGTTCGATGGTGTGCGTTGGGTTGAAAGAGCGCTGGGTTTATGCTGGAGAGCGCTAGGTTGCGCTAAGAGAACGGACAGTTTTGGACGAGAGATCCCCCTAGTTGTACTGAGAGAATTTGAACCCACTCAGATGGGCTGTTGGACCTGGTTGACAGAAGTTAGAAGCTATGTACTAGGTCGGGATCCACAGTACTAGATTGTTGAACGCCATGCATCTGGTGTTAAATACCTAGGCACCGGGATAAGAGGCTGAGCTAATGATAGAAATTAGACAGACCTAGACTAGCTAGAGCTGGGCTTACATAGTCCAGCCTCATGGTTGGAGATAAGAAGGCTTGAAATTTTGAAAGCTTGGCGTGCGTCCCAGCGGCTCAGCGAGACAATGTTGGGGCCAAAGTTGACTCAGCGTGCTTGAACCAAGGAGCGCAGATCAATTGACTTTACTATCAAACCCGTCAAGCTCAAGCTTCATGAATTTTTATTTTATTCAAGAAAACCCCAAACATCAATCGTTATATAAATCGCAATCGCTTAATCCAACTCGTCAACATCAAACTCGCGCTCAAAAAGCTCATCCTCAACGTCGCGCTCGAACACCTCCTCATCAAAGTCCCGTTGGTACAGGTCCTCTTCAGCAATGTCCCGCTCGAAGACCTCCTCATCGAAGTCACGCTCAAGGAACTCATCGTCGAACTCGCGCTCCATAAGCTCGTCGTCAAACTCGCGCTCGGCCAAATCATCAGCTTCAGCTTTCTTCTTAGCAGCTTCAGCATCAGCCTTCTTCTTAGCCTCAGCAGCCTTCTTCTTGGCCTCCTCTTTTTTCTTCTTGTCGTCCTTGCCTTTCTTGCCGGTGAAGAAGTTGCTATACATTTTTCATCAGAACGGTGTTGATTGATGGGTGGGTGGAGGACTTACCGAATCTTTGACCAAATACTCTCACGGGCTTCGAGCTCTTCAAAGTCGCGCTCGAGAAGATCTGAGTCGTCAAAGTCGCGCTCAAGGAGTTCATCGTCGAACTCGCGCTCCATAAGCTCGTCGTCAAACTCGCGCTCGGCCAAATCATCAGCTTCAGCTTTCTTCTTAGCAGCTTCAGCATCAGCCTTCTTCTTAGCCTCAGCAGCAGCCTTCTTCTTCTTGTCGTCCTTGCCTTTCTTGCCGGTGAAGAAGTTGCTATACATTTTTCATCAGAACGGTGTTGAGGTATGGGTGAGTGGGAGGACTTACCGAATCTTGGACCAGATGCTCTCACGAGCTTCGAGCTCATCAAATTCGCGCTCGAGAAGGTCCGAGTCGTCAAAGTCGCGCTCGAGGAGGTCAAAGTCGTCGGCAAAGTCGCGCTCGAACAGCTCTGCGTCAACGTCGAACTCTCTTGTCGTCAGCTCGGAGGGAGAAGGTGGGGCAGAGGGCTTTGGTCCGTATTGGGTTGCGTATTGCTTGCTGCAATACAAAATAGAATGTGTCAATACAAAAACGAAGTTGCGAAAAGAAAAAAACGAACATGGCATTCTGGAACCACAGGCTGGGTGCGCGCTCCAAGAGCTCGAGGTCCCGCTCCGAGAGCTCATTCTCGAAGAAGTCGCGGGTGTATAGGTCTGCATCGTCTCGAGCAGAAAGATCGCCGAGATCGAAGGGGATCTCGCGCTCGAAGAGGTCAAGATCAGTTAGGTCTCGTCTGTAGTCATCCATCAGTACCCCATAGGAACATCGCGATGAGTAAAGAGAAACTTACGGAGCACTATGATGTTGCTCAGCACGGGCAACAGCGACAAGGGCGGCAGCAACGAGGATGGAAGCAGCGTATTTGACCATTATGTCGTGAGTGGATTAATAAAGTTCAAGCGAAAGAATTGGGGTGGGGAGGAGGAAGAGTTGCGTTCAACGAAAACTCGTAAGTAATGGGGGGGATGAGACCAGCTGGAGAACCGTGGATGCATCGCCGAGGTTTTTATATCAAAGCGAAGCAGGCTGTGTTGTGGCGCCATGTGCACTGACAGATGATCATGAGTCAGCAGTAACCAGTTCATTTGGTTACTGGCGGCGAGCACGGAGCAGTCCAGTGCCGACGACGCGTTGCAAAGCAAAGACGTTTCAAAGCAACCGCAGGGGCTCCGAAAGGTTGGATTCAGCGGTGAGTCGTATTATTTCTTGGAGAATACTTTTACTTAAACAAGTTTTCCCTGCCGCAGTTGTATGTTTTCGAAGCGAGAAGTCGGCACTGCTTGAGCGCGCGCCAGGGGTGGCACGGAACTGAAGGCCAATTTGTTGCTCGAAGACTTGAGCAGCGAGCTGCAACGTACGTACGAGATGACCATGATATGTATTTGATGAGTCGGTTACATCACAGCAAGTTTTCCCCATCCTGGCCCTGGGTCTTTGGGTGTAAATGAATGGTCAACAATTCACACCTTTGCAGGCAACGAACCAGTCAATGTGGGCGAAAGTGAATACTAAGTACTAAACCCTTCACCGAGTCCATCTGGGAGGCTGAACTTCCTGAAAGTACATTTTGCGATGTTTCAATGCCTGGCTCGATAGTGGCTGTAGCGCTCAGCATTCAATCCACTCAGCTAGCGCTGCACCAAATCCTATCCGGAAAACCGCCTCCAACATTCACTAAAATAGCGAAATTTATATCCATACAGACCTACGGGATTTGATTTCCAAAAATTTCACCAATTCCGACGGCATCCTCAACTTGCTGGGATGTTCGATTCTAAGGTGCGTTGAGAATTCTGTGGAGATTTCCAGGTTGACTGACTTGCCAGTGATTGTCTTCGAACGGTTAATTCGGTCATTAGCCTACCTCCGCTCATTGGTTCTGATTCCTGGGGAGACCTGGCTCGTCGATGTGCCATCATTGCTCGTCAGCTTCGTCCGTTCAACGCAGCAACTTACCTCTGACCGGGACGTTTGACTGATGGTGCTTGGAGGTTTCTGGAGCTTGCTGACTGCCAGAGGTTGTTCTTCGGAGTCTCGTCACGAATGCTTGTGTGCTACCTCGTCTCGTTTCTCATTCACGCTCTAATCCTTACACAGAAAATGGCCCTTAGTTCTTCCAGCTCTTTATCAGCGTACAGATTGTTACCAGGCAATTTGAGCTCTACTACGTGCGTTGGTACTTCTCAGTATTTTCCCCTCTCAAAACCTTGTGATTGACTAATGACTTAATCTCATTCAAACCACGCTCAGCCACTCTCACAAACAAGGATGGGGACATTATACTTGTGGTGGCGACTGACCCACCACAATCGTTTGTGGCACCACGATCCTGCCACAATCTCGTCATAATTCCATTATGGGGCCACAAACCTAGGTTCTGAATTATTGCACCACGCTGCTCAGTCAATGCCACAGGAATTTTTTTTTTTTTGTATTACTACTTATACTACGTACAGAAACACCATGTAAATATTGTAGAAACCAATTTGACGACCTGACAAATTGATAAGAATGATTCAGAACACACAATCACGGGAACTCACTGAACATCCTTGATGCAGCCTCCTCCGTGAGATCGATGAGGTCCGGGTTCATAGAAAAGCACACCAGGAAATGCAAGACATTAGAAGTGTGGTTTGGCACAAACATGGAACGGCAGATACTTACCATCACGTCTTAAATACAACAGCGAACGACATTCGTCGTTCGGCTACCACACTGGCAGCGACATGAGACCTGGGTTCTGTGTTAGAAAGATGAGCGGTGGGGGGCCTCACCTTGGCTCGTCGCAGTCTGCTTCCGTTCGTAGGTGCTGGTCATCCTTCACGTTGATGTTCGCAGTCGAGTTTGGCTGATGCTGCTTTGCCTCGGTTTGTGGACGGTGGTTGTCGTTGGCGCTGGCTGTCGTTGGCGCTGGCTGTCGTTGGCGTTGGCTGTCGTTGACGGCTTCGTTGGAGGTGGTGTGGTATGGCATTGCCACGTCGTTGTTGTGGGGGATTGATTGGGGGCGGTCGGACGATGGTTGCGACGGCGACGTGGCATACCTGGACAAGTGTGAGTATGATTGTGCAAAGATAGCGTTGTAGAGAGGAAGCACCTTGAATGTTGTCACGAAGAACCTTGCGATGACCTGCTTCTCTTGTCAAAAAAGGAGAGGGGAGGGGAGTCAAATGGCTCACCTGGTTGCCCGTCGTTTCATATCGTTGGTCCGTTCTTGGTTGCCACGTCACCGACAGCAACGTCACCCCCTGAGTCTTGTATTAAAAGAGGAGAAAGGGAGGGGGTTTGAGTGACAGACCTCAAGTAACACAGACAGTGACGACGACATGCGTCATCACCGTCTGGTCGACGTGGCGCGTCTGTTGAGGCGCCAGGTCGTTGTTGTTGTCGTTGGGTAGGTCGTTGTTGTTGTCATTGTTGTGCAGTGGTGGTTCGGAGCAGGTTACCGAACGTGGTGGTTGATGCAGATGGTGCGTGCTTCCAACATGCTTGTGCAGCCTAATCGGGAAACTAGTTTGCTAGAGCTAGTGTTAGCTTCATTTCATTTCTTGAGATTAAACTCTCAATCGCGGCGTTTTTTCCATGTTGGAGCTCGTCGGCAACTCGATATATACTGCAGCTATTAATCTCTAATCTCGCTTTTCCGGTACTTGGGTATCCCCGATAATTGCAATGGCACCTCACTACTGCCTATATCCTCCAAATCCAGACGTTACTGGGATTGGGGTTCGTTGTACACTGTATGTTCAGGCCCTTATCATAGGTATACAAAACACTAGTCCAGAATTGTATCCAAATTCACCTGTTTTAATCCTAAATTTTAGTTGTGACATCTTATTCCACCCAGCCCCGCGTCGCCCATCCGCCCTTGCCCAACGGGTGGCGTGTCCAGTCATACACTCTCGCCATGTTCTTTGTTGCCGGACTAGTTCAGCGCTTTCGCGGACAGCTCAGCTATTTCCATGAAATCGCAGCTGTTCATTTGGCTCTTCTGGGTTATACTAGTGTCTGGTTCGCCCGGACGTTGCAACGTAACAAGTTTACGTGGGCCCACATCCAGACTATCTTCAGGAATATCAAATTCCTCAGATTGCCCTCCAACTTTGGGTCACTTTTCATTCAAGGACGCCTCACTGCCCAAACGGCGGTTTTTTTCATCGCCTTGATATTTTTGTCGCTCGATTCTGCATGCCTGCCATCCCCCAATGATACAAGCTCCTCAAGTACTCAAGTGATTTGGGTGACGCTCTTTGGGTTTCGCGTGCGGGCAGCTATCGGTCTTATACTACCCTCCTTATCCTCTTGGACGATCTTGGTTGCATTTTATATCCAATACCGCCGTTCCAGCGATCCGGATCGCATGTTAGGAATGGCCCGAAACGTCCTTTTCGTGGTGTTTTCGTGGTATTGGGTAGAAGAAGTGGTCTCAATCGAACGATCAATGCAGGAGAATGTTGGACTCGACCGTAAATCTGAGAATACATGGAATTTTGGGCAGGCGAGAAATTTTTTGCTCGTCAACAGCGGCGCACAGAACTGATTACTTTTATCATTATCAGATTGTGCCTCTCGGCATGTTGCTCCCCTTCTTGTACGAACTCAAGCTCTGGCGGCGAGAAGAGATTCGTCGCCGTCTTGAGGACATTGAAATGAGGTCCCAGTAGCTCGAGTTGCCGATCTCTGAGACTCATCATTGCACCAATGCTCTCGTACTATGCATGGAAGATATATATCATTTTTCGTTTCTGATCTAATGTGAATTCCACGCACGTTTGTAAGCGTCAGCAACTCCTTGATCCGATTCTCCACCACTGCCGCTTGCTCCGGGGTTTAATATCGCTAATTGTGACGACGATATCCACTGCACTGTACCCCTGATCCCACAGTTCATTGAGTTTATCCATAGCCACATCGATGTCGGATTTTTGGCAGGCAATAATGATAGCTTGGACCACAATTAGGTTTCGCGACTGAAGTCGACCCCTCACTCATGGAGTTCCATTTCCTCAGCCCAAACACCACTTGGCCAGAGGCCAATGTCACGTACAAGCCTTTCTTCGACTATGCTTAAGAGGAGTAACAGCAACCTGCGAGGAGGAGGAGGACTCGAATTGGACTCCGATGTAGACTCTTTCTCGTGCGGAAGAGACCAAAATTAAGCGGTGAGGCTTACTCACTCGGAAACTTGCCGCGTTCTTGAACGTGGATGATGGAATGACCTGCCCCCTTCTTTGGCTCGCTCCTTCTTTTGCGTAGGCTCTTGATCACAAGCACGGGCTCACAACTCATCTAATGGATGATTCCACCCTTTCAAATGCAAGTCGTCACTGCATACCTCTGACTTCGACTTGTGCGTTGAGGAGCTTTGACTTCCGCCAATGCTGTCCCCAGAAACTTCATTGAGACTCGTCCTCAGACGGAGGAACGCAGTTAACGACTACAGTCGGTGCTCACCATTCAGCTGCACAATTTCTTGAGTACGTTGTTGGACAGCCTGTATTAAAGCAAGAATGGAAACTGATTGGAAGTCCCGGGGGTGCAGGTTTTCGAAGTCATAATCTCTCATGTCCACTGTCGTGATGGCGTGTTGTCAACCAATCCTTCCGACAACTTACAGATGCTTAGGCGTCTTTATTATTTTGTATAGTTCTGTGTTTTACGAGACTGAGTTGTTGTGTCGGAAGGGCCCCAGCGCGAGGCATCAGAAAACAGTGTTTGGTTCGGGTAGTGGTTAATACTACTAGCTTAATAGTAATTTACAGAAAAGAAATCAGTTTCTACTGGAACATCAGCACCTGGTGGCCATGGAATACCCCCCACGGGCATTTCTTCAAGCACACACATTGCCTGAAGCTGCGCTATCTTGAATTCCCGGGCCAACTCTTTGATGTAAGAGGCGGATATTCGGATAATCAAGTCTGGGTTTGCCATCATTCGAGCAAACTCGAGGTAGAAACTGAATCTCCTGCCATCCTCGTAGATCTTGCCCGACAGAACCTTTAATTTTGCCCAAAGATTGGTCCCGCCCTTATTAAACAGCTCAGTCATGCACTCGGGGGGGAATGAGTCTGAGACGGTAAGGTGAGTGACAGAAGGGATAATGGCGGCAAGTTTAAGGAAGAGATATGGACAGCAGATTACAGTCAAAGAGTGTAGCATGTAAAAGGGCTCTCTATCCATGAGATCAGCGAAAGGTGAGCGAAGGTCACATAGAGCCAGTGTCTCGAGCAGCGGTGCAGACAATAATGGGAAGAAGTGGCGAAAGAGGTTGTTCTCGCCAAAGCGAAGGTGCTTTAAATTCTTCATGATGATGTTGGAGGAATGCTGAGACTCAGGCTTGTTAAAGTGTTGGCCAAAAATCGACAAACTGGACAACGATGGCAAAGCAAGAATTTCGAGCAAATCGTTCCAACTCCCCAAGCGACTACGACCTGAATCAGAATGACGCTCAATTCGTAACATGGTGATATTGGAAAGGAGCGGGAAGTATTGGGAAGGACATGGTGTATCCATTCTCAAGTAGCATAGCTTTGGAGTGTCACGTAGAAAGGTCCCTGGATGTAGCGTAGCAGGACCTAATGACAGATATTCAAGGTTGGGAGCCTCTAACCGGGATAATCTGTCAGAGAAGTCCAATCTGGGCTCAGCATCGTTGGAAATTAAGAAAAATCGCCTCCAGCGAGCAACGTGTGGCAACGTACTCTCCAGCATGGACTTGAACGATCCTGTTGATCTCGTGCTGTACCCAAAATGGAAGTAGAGGTCAAGTAGGTGTGAGCCTGACCTGTCCAGGTATACATCTAGCCGACTTCCCAACTGACGATATGTCTGGTCGCAAATACTATCATGTCGAAATGTTGACCACAGTGGTGGGAAGGACAACGCGACTGAACGCCATCCCCTGCAAACGTGTGAAATAATGACTTCCACGCAAGGGTGTCTGGAAGCCCGATGGATCCGCGATGCATCTTGGGTGTCTTCGAAGATTTGGCAGAGGATTTCGGTAGGAAGGTTTAAAACAGGCGCCGTTTCGTTGTAGAGAGCCCCGTATTCGACGTGAGCTTTAATAATCGTGTGGTCGAGTTTTCGAAGCTTCTTCGTGGTAAGGGTGTCTTCACCACCTCCGGACTCCGACAAACATTCTAGGAAACGCACAGACATTGAGAGGGCAATCTGTTGCAGATAATTGTGTAAATTGGAGGCCCGGATACTTTCCCGAACTTACATAGATGGAGGTATAAGCAAGCCCCGAAAGCAAACTTCCTGGCTGACCTATGTAATTTAGATAGGAGAGGAAGATGGAACAGGTAAGGAGTACATATGTTCGGAACGTGTGAAAGGACCAGTTTGCGTCTTGAAAGGGACAGCCAAACAAAATACTGGTAGGGGCCTCTTTGCACCCCAGCGAGGTCCTAGGGGAACATACCACTTGCATACCACGAATCAAATTCTACCAGCCATATTCTCGAACACCTCCAGTCCAATAACGAGTCTGTCTCTTACGGATACTTATGCTTTTTGAGGACGTTAACCGGCCCTCGTTTTGACGGTAATTGAGTCGAACCCTTTCAGAATCTTTCGAGGCAGACCAACTTTGTATGGCATTGGCAGGGGACTGCATCCTCAAGGCCTCATCACCAATTGGTATCTAAATTGACATCGCTCAATCCAACTCATCAATTTCCCGCTCGACCAGATACTCCTCATCAAACTGCCGCTCAAGAAGCTCATCCTCAATGTCGCGCTCATACATCTCCTCATCAAAGTCTCGTTGGTACAGGTCCTCCTCAGGGATGTCCCGTTCGAAGACCTCCTCGTCCAAGTCACGCTCAGGGAGTTCATCGTCGAGCTCGCGCTCCATAAGCTCGTCGTCAAACTCGCGCTCAAACAGGTCCTCATCATTAAAGTCCCGCTCAGCCAAATCATCAGCTTCAGCCTTCTTCTTAGCGTCAGCATCAGCCTTCTTCTTAGCGTCAGCAGCCTTCTTCTTCTCCGCCTCCTCTTTCTTCTTCTTGTCGTTCTTGCCTTTCTTGCCGGTGAAGATGTTACTGCACATTTCATCAGAACGTTGTTGATGCATTGATTGAGGAGAAGAAGGGAGGACTTACCGTATCTTCTCCCAGAGACTCTCACGAGCTTCGAGCTCTTCAAAGTCCCGCTCAAGAAGGTCTGAGTCGTCAAACTCGCGCTCGAGGAGGTCAGAGTCGTCGGCAAGGTCCCGCTCTGAGAGGTCAGCGTCGTCGGCTTTTTTCTTGCGGAAGAAGAGGCTGTTTTTAAAGGGTGTACCATCAGCATGAGGACAAGCGAGGAGAGAGGAGGATGGCTTACAAGAAGCGTTTCTGCAAACCACGCTCCATGAGCTCATCCAAGTCCCTCTCGAACAGCTCTGCGTCGATGTCGAGCTCTCTTGTCGTCAGCTTAGAGGAAGAAGGCGAGGCGGGCTTCGGTCCGTATTGGGTTGCGTATTGCTTACTACAAAATAGATAGGTGCATCAACATAAAAACGAAACAAAACAAAAAAGTAACAAGAAGAAAAACGAACATTGAATTCTTGAACCACAAGTTAGGTTCCCGCTCCAAGAGTTCCACGTCCCGTTCCGAGAGCTCACTCTCGAAAAAGTCCCGGGTGTATAGGTCTGCGTCGTCCCGAGCAGAGAGATCACCGAGATCGAAGGGGATCTTGCGTTCGAACAGGTCGAGATCAGTGAGGTCTCGTCTGTTGTACGATCCGTTAGCGCCTTCATAAAAATATCGCAATGAGTAAACAAACTTACGGAGCGCTATGATGTTGCTCGGCACGGGTAGCAGCGACAAGAGCGGCAGCAACGAGGATGGAAGCAGCGTATTTGACCATTATGTTTATTTTGTCGTGTGCGGATTAACTAAGTTCAAGCGAAAGATTGGGGAAGGGGAAGGGGAAGGGGACAGAGTTACGTTCAACGAAAACTCGTAAGTGGTGGGGATGAGACCAGCTGGAGAACCTGGATACATCGCCAAGGTTTTTATATGCTCGGGAGCGCTGCAAATGTAGCCATTCAACATCTGTAAACAGAGTCAGACTCATTCATGGCCCGTCGACGTCGGATAAACCCATGACCACTGAATCGACGAAATCTGAACAGCGAGATGCGGCGAATGAACTGGCTCCGACGAAATCGGTTCCAGATTCACTTATTGTCGTCTTCATCCACGGGTTCAAAGGGACCGACCAAACATTTCGAGAATTTCCCAAGAGACTGGAGCACATCCTCTCGGAGACCATATCGAATGTTAAGGTGGAATGTTTGGTGTTCCCTGCGTACGAGGTGACGTGTACCGATGCAATTGCAGCCCATTTCCAGCTAAAGAACGGCTATCTTGATACCTAGACTAAAGGGGAGTTGGTACGTATGGCTGAGGTTTCTTGATTCCTAAGACTGACCTCGTTCTCTACGATAGGACAAAGCGGTAGTCCGTTTCGCAGACTGGCTTACCACCTTGACCGTCGAGCGTGAGGTTGCTTCTGGTGGAGGAGCAGGTAATGCCAAGATCGTCTTGTGCGGGCACAGGTACGTTGCCTGCCAAATATTCAACGCGCGCACTCGATCTAATTGAGTGCCTTCAGTATGGGCGGCCTACTTGCTGCTGACACCCTTCGTGAGTTTGTCAACTCACGGCCAGATGCTCAAGCTCCCTTGTGGCCGAAGATCATTGCGTGCATTGCATTTGACACACCCGTAAATTCATCTACCTGCATTTCTACTATCAAACTGAATAGTGTTGTAGTACTACGGTTTACATCCTTTCGTTGTCAAAAACAGCGCAACTAAATACGCCGATGCTGCAAAATCGATTGGAACACTTCTGGGATCATTCCCCGGGTTCAGCGCTAAAACGACAACACCCCCACCCGCTGCAGCCAACACCCAGGCTGCTTCGGGATGGGGACGATGGGCAGGACCTGCTGCATTTGCAGTGGGCGGGGCGATACTGGCTGGGGCAGCAGCTGGAACGGCTTACTACAGACGGGAGGACTTGAGTCAAGGTTTCTCATGGGCCACAGATCACATGAAATATGTTGGTAATTTATGGGACGAAGAAGGTCTGTCGAAACGGGTGGAAGCCTTAATTGACATTGAGGATAAGGATGGTGTCACCTTTAGGTCGTACGTGTTTTTCATAGTCTAACGCGCATACAGAATTGCCCTTACGTGCTTTTCAGGTTTTATGCCATTTTACCCCCATCACCGCCAGCTTTCCTTAATTCCCGGACATTCGTTGTCCTTCCTAAGGTCACCTCCAGGAGTTTTTCGCATTTCCTACCGGCGAAGAACAGCACTGCGCCTGACGAACTACAGGCACACATGGGGATGTTTGGTGCGCAAACGAACGATGGATACTACGAGCTTGGCCTTTCAACGGCCAAAATTATTCAAGACGCTGTGGCGTCTTTGAGAGGCGCCATACACAAACAGAACAATGGTGATCCCTTGAAGAGGCCGTCAAAACCGAGTGCAGAGATTGCGGACCTTATTAGTCTGTAGGAGTGTATTGTATAATTTAGGGATATTCTTGATTTTTATGTATCTTCATGCTTCTATGATTGTCACTTCAGCGGAAGATGCATTGCATATGCATCTTCTCCATCCGCGTCTGAACATCTTCAACCAAGGTCCAAGTGAATCAAAGGGGAGACCTACAATATTTCTTTTCGATGTCCTTGACTGTAAAACCCAAGGTGTCGCGGTACAGGCCCAAAGCAGCCCGGTTGGATTTTCGTACGTGTAATGAAACGTACGACGCGTTGTAGATTGCGCACATCGCTTGCTCTGCGAGAGCATCGTATGAGGATGCCTCCAGCATACATGGATAAATGCATACGTGACTGTATCATCAGCTTCTTCGCAAGGCCTAACCGTCGATATGATCGTAGCACAGAGATTGAAGTGACATGGCCGTGTGGCTCCTCGCCCTCTGCTACTTCCTCATCCCTTTATATGACATCTATATGTTAAGTTGCAACAAATGAGTGAAGAACAGCGCACATTTTGGCAAGGATGTATCCGACAATTCGACCCTTATGATCCTCGGCCACATAAGAAAGAGAAGGCCAAGACATAGCGTGGTAGAGATCTGTTTGATGGCTTTGTCTATCGGAAAGGTTTTTGTGTTCGCGACAGACATACAGTATCTCATGGTATAGTTCTCCGGCAGATTCTGCAAGTTGCACGCCTGCATACCTGTGAGATCATCGACCTAAAGTTTTCCTCGAATTACTGAAACAAGAGAGTCGGATTGTATTCCACGTACCCGGATTGGTCGTACGTTCATGATGTGTTGAGGGACAAAGCCAGCTTTGATTGCGTCAGCCTCAGAAAAACCGAGGTAGAAACATGTTAGAATAGACTTGAAAAATTTAGAACGTCTTTGTATTTTAAATCTCTTGCGCATCCGTAATGCACGCAAAATCTACAGTACAATGACATCTCCTACATTCCCGATTAGCTTTCTTTTGGGCTTTCCGTCCTTTTTAAGCCCAATGACCTCTATTTCCATATTTGTGGTTGAAACCTCGGAGACCAGGGTTTCCTCAAGGCGGTCGTCCAAAAATGCAAGAGAGAGCGTTGATATCGTCTCTAACAAAGGTCTAGCAGACTTCTTTCTAATGATCGGCATGACAGGGAAATCGGAGAATGAGGTGTGCACAGAGCCAACTAAGCCCCAGAAGAGTGAGCATTGGCAGGTGGAGAAAGTCTCAATTGTTTAGTTACCCAATGTCAGTATTCGTCCGCCGTGTGGCTCCCATCCTGAAACTACTTCTTGCAGGCGTGCAAAGTGATCCTTCCAGAGGGTAAATGTTTCAGAGTTAATTACTAGCATCCGAGGATGAGGAGAGTCAAGTTTGTCAGTCAGTGATGATTTGAGAGACTCCTGGATATAGTCGACGTCGGTTGAGATGGGCGGCATACCCGGTCCTTCTGGTCGGACAAAAGGAGTGGGCCCAGGAGATGGAAGGGGCTCTAGCCATGGATCGAGTATAACCACTTTGCTGACTGGTATTGAACCAAAGCCCTGCGCAGGTGGAGTGGAAAGAATTGAAAGCTACCAATGTGCCTTTCATAAATAAGTAACCGAACCTGACAATCGAAATGCCCACCATTGTACACCCACCAAAAGAGTGTCCGGCAAGAATCACGTCTTCGTCGCAGTTGATGGAGGGCCTGCCTTCACTATTCACGTTGGTCCAACCTTCTATTGAAATGGGAGGGCCGTCAATGGTATCAATTTCCACAGGGTCGTTTTGGACAAAATGGCGAAAGGTGGAGTACGCGATGTACAACTCTTGATGGCGAAAGGCGAGTTGTTCCACGCGAAGTGCGAAAGGTTTCTGTTGAACGGTATCATCATCTTCCCAGCTACGACGTCAAATAAGAACGCGAAGTTTGCAACTGAGCGCGAGGATCTTTACCGTATATCATTTTCACGGAGATAAAGCAATGTCCGAGATGTTCGTTTTCCATCCACTTTCCAAGACTGTGGAATGCAAGCGGTACCTGTCCCGTCTCGATGCTCAACAGCAAGAACAACTCTTCCCGATGCGGCAAGGTGGCAACAGAGCTGACTTCATAGGTTGCTGCGCATTCAACCACCAGGATGACGCCACGCGATTGAAATCACCGACCTATAAGCTGTACGGCTTCCACCCAGACCATGAGAAAAAATGATGAGAGGCCATTGACTTGATGATGATGGTTTTTCCGACTCCGTGGTAGACTCCATGGGATTGAGAAGGGGAGCGTTCGGGTATGCTGGTATCTATTGGGTGGTAAGCATGTAAAAAAATACCAACTGTAACGGCACATACCTTAATCAGTGAGCCAAATAGATAGACGACAGGCCATAGAAGCCAGGTTGAAATTCCTGTCATATTTTGCTGAGACTTGCGAATTTGAGTGTGGAAGTACGCATACCCAAAAATGAGGCGAAACCATTCAAAGATTCTTTGATAGGTCTGGTAGCAATGATAAATTGTGATGTGTGAAAATTCTGTTTCAAAGAACTTGCCGAATGAACCAATCAACGCCCTGTTGTAAGTTGGTTGGTTTTTCTGTTGGATAATACACAGTAAAGGCGACTTCTTCCAAATACAAGGCGTTCTCAGGTTGACCATGACGGGCATTCCGGAGCTTGACAGAGCCTATGGATTGAGCAGGACGAACTGGCGTAACGAAGGTGGTTATGCCCACGGGAAATCGCCCGTGGATTGAGGGAAGAAATAGCATACTATGTAAGTCAAAACTTACGAATACACCGCCAATTGGCGCACAGGTTGATGGCGGGTTGCCAAATTTCCTGATGCTCATCAAATCTGTCACCTGTGAGTTACCTGATCCACATGCTGTGCCCAGGCCCAGCTGGCCATCAGCTGGTTCATACATGGGCACCAGCTCCGCTGTAAACGTAGCGACCACCTTACCACAAAATTAGTATAACTGCTAGATTTCACTCAAAGGCAAGGGCTATGTAAGAGACGGTTAATGTAGTGCTTTTGCACTTTGAAATATACATTAGTCGTACGCAAATACAGCTTGTAACAACATTTGCCGTGCACAGTGAGCGAAATTTCACCCAAGTCATTTCAAACTCAGACACTCCGCAGGTTCAAATACTTCCAACCCCAGCTCAACCTTCCTCACTCTCACCTTCCGTCTCCGGCACCATTCTTCTCTGTCACCACCGTCAATAACCACCAGCACCCTGCATCAATCGTTCAAATGCCCTCAACGATGCAACACCAGGTAACCAGCCCGTCAGCACACCACATTTCAACGGGATGAAGACGACCTGGCACACCAGCGGACATGCCACATTGTCCAGACGGTGACGACGCAAATCATTGTCACCGTCCCTTTGAAATAAGGTGAGCAAGGTGACTGCTGTACCCCTTTCCTTTTTTCACATGAGAAAGCAGTGCCACGTCGCCGTCTCAACTTGCAACAGACAAATGCCGACAAATGAGGATGACCAACGATGGTGAATGTCCAGGTGAGTAACACTATACCCCTCTCCCTCCGTTTTTGACTAAAGGAGCCCAGGCCATATTGCCATTGGCAATGATCTACAACAACGAACGACGTTGAGGTGAGCAAGACGACACCCCTCCTCTCTTTTTTTCACATAAGAAACAGGGGCCACGTCATCGACGGCAATGTGACAACTAGCAACGGACCAACGACAATGCACAACAAACACCGAACAACGTCCAGGTGAGCAACATCACATCACACCCCTCCTTTTTACCTTGTTCGTGCATCTGTTCTAGGTACGTACCCAGTAGTGTTCGAAAGTCTGGTTAGGTCCGGTTATTGGGTGCCCAGGGGCTCTAACCGAGACCGAGACCGGTTAGCCTTTGTCCCGAAACCTAAAATAACCTAACCGGACCACAACTGACCAGTTACGGTTGGTTATTTGCAGTTACTAACTGGTTAGGACCGAAAAATAAAGAATCAGTTATAACAAGGCAAATATGCTCATATGTATCTTGATAGATATTATTTCTGCATATTCTAGCTTTAAAACGAGCCCAAGAACGCTAAAATCGGTGAAGAATTGACATATTTATGCAATTATCCTTGAAAGTCTACACATTTGAGTGATATTTTAGAGATTTGACTGTAACTTAGTCAAATTTTAAGCATTTTCAATGTTCTCAAGTGCGTTTTGAAGGTGTATAATAGGGCTGGTTATAACCGGTTATTTAACAGTTAGTTAACCACAAAATAACCGGTTATTCCATTTTCGAAATCAACTAACCCTAACTGCGGTTAGGTTAGTGTTGCGGTTAGGTCCAGTTATTTTCCGGTTATTTTCCAGTTAACTAACCTAACTTTCAAACACTAGTACCCAGTAACCCTTCATGACGGCCTACCAACTCATCCAATGCCTTATTACAGATCAGCCTGCTTGACACCACCACAAACAGTGTCAACCTATATGAGTAGTAGATAAAGTAGCTGTATATAACTCTTGTGTAGCCCGTTGTCAAAATGCAATCTATTCTTTTGTTTATGTTCTCAAATTGAAATAAAGCAAGGTGCAAATGAGGATGAATAAATTTATGAAAATGAGATGTAAACATGTAAACCCCAGTAGCTCATACCCAGCCCAATATACCAGCATTCCCTGAATGACCACCTATCCTCAACATCTCACTCCACCCCGGGGACAGGTATCCCTGGTGCCATGCTGTGTTTAGTGCAAAGTTCACATGGCGCCCAGCTGTCAATGGGTTGACGCGACATGGAAACTAGGTGTGATTACATCATTTGATCCAGGTGCCTGTGACCTGGCGACCTTTTGGTGGTGTAGAATAGAATAATAAATTGGCTGACTACATTACATAAGTAATTCAGGTAACTACGAGAGATACCTCGCCAGCTCGTTGTGAGTGAGAGCTAAGTAGGGATAATCTGAATGGTAGATGAGGGGGACAGAACCAATGTAATAAATGAGAGAGAAGATGGTAAGTGTAGTTTTGTAGACGTTTGAGATTTTTGGTAAGGATTGGTTGTACGTATGTACGAAGTATGTACACCGCCAAATTGAAAAAATGTGTGGGACCTGGAAGTTGAAATGTGATCAGTACCTTTGCCCTTCTGGGACAAATTGATCCGATAACGACATAGGGCGGCAAGCCACATGGCCCGCTACCTTCCAGCAAAAAAGGTTGAATTGGTTGTCTTAATAAATAGGAATTTTTGCATTCAAGTATGGAGCAACTTATGTCTTCAAATGAAAATTGACATCTGGCGCACTGAGTATCTGTTTACTTTCACATTTGGAAGTGTATGGTAACTGGTGCCAGATATATTCTGTCTCGACACAGTGGCGAAAAAATTGAAAGTGATTATGACCATTAAGTGGACAATTAATAAAATCTTTTTGAAACTAGAGGTTGACTTCATCAACAAAAACCTCACTTCTAAATCTGTACTTTATATATGTTAGTAATGGTTTCACCCAACAAAAAAACTTTCAAATTGTAGTTGTTTCGTCATTCTTAATCTGATCCTGTTATTTTTCGTTTTTTCATGAGAGCTCCATTGGAGCATTGAATATCTAGCTTGTCAAAGGAGGCCGCTGCTTGTCACCCGGCCTTTGGCCAGCTCCTTGCAGCGGCGATGAGCAGTGTTAAGCAAATTGAAAACCAGTTGGACTTTGCAGACTTTGTGCCCTCATTCTTCATCAACATGGAGATTTCGTTTTCCTCTTATTTAAATTCCCAGATTAATATTACCACACAGTCTGATAGATAGACCTAGAAATATGGACATGGGAGACATAGCTAAAGTGAGGTGATCAAGACCACCCAGATAGTGTACAGTGTGCCATGTCTGCAGAAGAGTGGAGTGGCAGCACGTTACATTAATCTTGTACAAAATTTACGGACAATTTACAGTATCTACCCCTGCAAATGATGAAGTCAGTTTCGGTTCAGTATATGATTTTTCTCCTATGTAACTGGTGAAGAACATGATGTATATAGAGACATGACTTTTCCTGCATCTACAGTCTTTCCTGTTGAGCGAGTGAGGAGTGTGATTACATGTGATGGGAAAATCTGGCACGTGATTTTTTGGCCAATCAACGCTGCTACAGAAGACCCACTACTGATGTAGTGGGAATATTCTCACAACATATGCATCCGGCTAATACCAGTGTGTCTCCAGGTCGATGTTGGGGTGACCTGTCACCAACAGCTGGGGATCAGCTGGGAGGACAGCTCCCCCAGCCTATGTTAATTCCCTATGAGCCACAATTCTCAACATTCATTCTAAGTATGGCTGTTCAGGTTGATGTGTTCAGTTCTTATGCAGCGCAAGGAGGAGCATAAAATATGGCATATATTCATAACGCAACAACAAAAAACATGGTATCATAAAAACGGTGACATCCTTCTGTAGCGGCCATTTCCCAGCCATTCATGCTTCTGTTCCCAACAACACCCTCAAGCCCATCCCTATCAATGTCCTCTGAAATGCAATGGTGAAATGGGCACGTCAAAGGGGAGTCTCGAGAAAACTGGAGGGGAAGCAGTAGCATAATGGCTGGGGTGGGATGTGGTGCAGCTTGGCGAGGCATTAAAACGGAAGTGGGTGAAAAGATGTCGATGTGATGATGGACCGACTGGCTTACACGTTGTCTGTTGCTGCCACCTGAAAGTGAAACCTATATATCAAAAAAGAGTGAGCGGTCCTCGTTAGGAAATGTTGTCGAGTCGAGTCTACAGAGAAATAAAATACAAGTGGGGTATTGGGCACTGACAAAAGCCCAGGAAAGCGACCAGACAGTAATGAGCATGCACAGGCGCATGGGAAGTGGACAGGCACAAAGGAGGAAACAACAGGGGGGGACAGTACAGAGTGGAAACAAGGCAACATAATGATAACAAAGGGGCAAGCAGGTAGATGGGCAAGGGGACTCTGAGGAGAGATGGTCACAGTTACAGTAGGTGGGAGCGCCGCGGTTCAATTTGATTTCTGATTTTTTGGTTGAACTGTGGTGATGGAGCCCTAACCCAAACCTATGTGCAGATTTTGGTTTTGCGTTCAATGTGCTGGGTGTCAAAAGAAAGCAAAACATAGAAAAGAAATAAAATGAAAAGAATTCACTCAGATATTCCCAACACCACATTGTGTCAAATTTGTTTTTGATCAATATGGCTTGGGTGCTTCTAGAGGTAAGGCTGCTTGGAGTTGGCCAAAAAATTTGTTGCGCGCTTCGCACACAGATGAACAAGCCAGGTGACAACCCAACAAAACTAATATAACTACATGGTCTCAACAGTTCCTCCTAGAAATTTTTTATCAGAACCCCAGGCACCTCCTCTCTGAACTGCAGTTTTCTTCTAAGTCAAGAATTGTCTCTGTGTTGTCAACGACAGTTTGAATTTCCAGGGATTCTGGTTTCGTCACGTGCATGTGACTAATGGCAGATAACTTTTTGGGGTGGCAGATAACTTTGGCCTCGAAGTCTCCACATTGGCTACATAAATCATTTATCTCTGTGAGAAGAAATTATAGCTTACAGCTGTTAGTATGTGCATGCCAAAATTCAGCAATGGAAGTGCTATATTCATTGAGAAATATATGAAATATAAAATCCCAGGCTTTGCTGGGCAGATAACTGGCAGATAAATACCCAGCACAATGATCAGTAAGCCCAGATTTGACCCATAAAGTAGGTCATGTGACCTACATGTAGTATTTGGTTGATTATCTTTTCCACTTACGGATGCATCATGGTGCGCAAGGGGAGACACACACACACAGATGAGGAGAACTACACATCATGTGAGAAGCAACACACCAGGTAACAATGTGTTGTTCTCAAGTTGTTCTTCGAGATTTTGCTTGGATTTCGCATTTTCACACATAAATTTGAAACTCCGCCACAAGTTATGAGTGTGATGATCCCATGTCACCTGTCACAACCGCTTTCTCATCACCACCACCGCCATTTGCTTGCCTGTGCCCCACCTTTCGCAGCCTCTTCCTGCCCACCTTGCACCCTTGCTATGACCGACAAGGACCAAGAAAACAGTCACAGGCCCCTTCAGGTGAGCTCCCACTCTGTTCAGCCCCATATTTGCTAACAGCCCACCACCATCACCTCCCGCCTCACCGCCCTGGCAAATGCCCACCAGGGCAAAGCCTGGGCACTCCTCCCACCTCACCCCACATCGGCTGTGTCGACCTGACCATGCATACCTCGCTTCAAATGTGACGAGAACTGGTCCACCATGTGCCACGGCAAACACAACCACCACCCACATCGACCCCCCTCGCAAACACAACCCTCGGATTACGACTAACTGCCCATGAGAACGCCTGAAGATCCATAAAACCACCATCTACCCACACCAATGGAATCAGCCCACGAAAATGCCCCTACAGACAGAATCTGGCCCATCAACGAGGACCCACACTTGGTGAAACAACAGGGGATACAGCACCTACTGTGCAGCCAGGTGCGTACCCTGCGCCTCCCCACTAACCAGCCCTGCGAAAATGCCAGCACCCTCTGCAATGAGGCCACCACTGCATCCCACTCAACCATGGCCGCCTGGTCCACATGTTGACTCCCAGATGTGCCCAAACTCGGCTGTCGACAGTGAGGATTCTTGGTGGTACATTCCAGGGTCTCGAACTCCCTCTCTTAGAATTTAAGTATAATTTGATGTATAGTAGTTTAAGGAATAAATTTTATAATCCTGTTAAATCGTGTACAGTGCCTGCCATCACTTCTCCACCTCCCTCGGCATGAGCTGAGAAAACTTTAGTGAAATTTTTCCTTCTTTTTATCTCATGAAAACAGGTCAAAATCTGCACATAGGTTCAGGTTAGGGCTCCATCACCGCGGTTCAACCCAGAAATCAGAAATCAAATTTCGAAATTGAACTGTGGTGCTCCCGCCTACCATACATGGTGGTTGTGGTGAAGGAGAGAACATTGTGTTTGGTTGTGGTTGAAGTTGGAAATGACCAAATATGGTGCAGAGTTTAAACAACTTGGTGATATTCATCTCTCTCGTTAATTTCTCACTAAGGTCAAAATCCGCGAAATCCTTGCTTTTTTTCACTTGTGAGCATTTAGAAGGACTCATTAGATACTTTATTTACTCTCTTGTTATGAATTTTCTCTTGAACATTATAATTCAGCGCTCGAATAAAATTGGCACTACAGGTTATACAGAGGAGAATGGAAAACCTGTGAGCCAGATGTTGCACTGCTGGAGCTGATGTTTACAGCTAAAGCTCCGACAAACCTGCCAGTCATGCCGAATGCAGCTACATCAGAAACCTGTCAAGCGGAGATTCACTCCAGATGCCATCAGCATTTTGAACAAATGGGGGTGTAAGTAAGCTGTAGGAATGCACGTGATTGCTCTGTTCTAATTTTAAACTCTCATCTTACCCCATTGAACAGACTGCACCCTTCAAGTTTGACGAACTCCCAGTGAGCGCTGAACGCCATTTTTCGGCTCAAAGTTAGTACTCTTGCCCATTTGAAACCAGCTTCAAGCTGGAACGTGCTAAACGACGCTGCCAGCGCGCTCAAGATTGGTTGAACAACTTCATTGGGGTTTGTTGAGCGATGTTCGATGCCGTTGTGGCTCTACTTCATTCCGAACATATATCAACTGATTTTCGGCGCTTGATGGTCGAATAAGACCCGTCGAGTGTTCCCATCGATCTCATCAACTCCAACGTACGTGCTTAATGCTTAACACTACCACTCCTTCAAACATATCTGGCCTCTTTAAGTTCGCCTGTCTGTCCCTTCTGATACCTCTATGCTCTGCCACCAGTGTCATTCAAGTCAATGTACCCGCAACCCCGTCCTCGCAAAATGTTAGTGTTTGAAAGTCCGGTTCGGTCCGGTTTTTTGATGCCCAGGGGCGTTAACCGTAACCGTAACCGGTCTGCCTTTTCCCCAGAAGTCAAAAGACCAGACCGGACCACAAAAAGACCGCAGACCGCGGTTTTTTGCGGTCTATAGACCGGTTTCGGTCTGCATCAGTTTTAACCGGTTTATGACCGGTCTTTAGGCCAATATTTTAAAATTATGAATCGGTAAATTTATTAACATCTCTAATAGCTTCAAAACGAGCCCAAGAACGTTAAATTCCATTAGGTATTGGTGCTTCTATAAAATAAGTCTGGTACATCTATTATTCCCAAAAGTAATTTACATTTTAATTCATATCTCTCTCGTTTTTTTACCAAATCGTACGTTCTTGGGTGCGTTTTAAAGGGTATTTAAGGGGCTACAAAAAACCGGTCCAAACCGG